TTTTAAAAAAAAAGAGAGAGAGATGGAAGCAACGCCCTTTAACCATGTCATGAGTGTTATGTAGGGCTCTCTACCACTTCCCTGCTGGCAGCTCGTAAGCGTAAACGAGTAATCCCCGACTTGTTGTATAATTAAAGAAAGATTAATTTTAAACTGCACTGTAATGCGATCTTAGTGAGGACTAATAAATTACTTCACATAATAAAAGTGAAGGGTTATGTTTATGCTTTGTGTGTCTAAAGTAGAAAATATCTGCCAATATATCAGATGTTTAAATCACCAATTCCCCTATCGGTGATTCTCTGAAATGGATTTTTAGAAGACTGAAACCCCACAGTGCTGTGTACATTCATATGACAGCTTATTCGCTAAAAATCAGTTGCCGACTTTTGTAGGTAGTCTGTTATACCCTAAAAAGCCCTATAAATCTATAATATTATTGCTCTTTATTAACTTAACTTAATTTTCCTTTAACTGTTGGCTTTAATGCATAATTAATGCATGTTGTTTGACTCAAAGGACGGTGTTTTTCTTTTTTCTTTTTCTTTAACATATACGTGAAACCCAGTTCTTGATTTCAGGTTGACAAGCCCATTCTTTAACAGGTCACTTGTATTTACAAAATCAAATGTGGAAATCAAAGCTGTGGTAGGATCTACAGCAGCCCAGTTTTTATTGTTTCAAACTGTTTAAAGTCAGCTGAGGTGTTCAGGACAGTGCTGCCATCTGCTGGTTTGTGTTCAAATTTGCAGTTGTTTTGTTTGTGTCCTCATGTTTCCCTCTCTCAGCCTTCCGTCTGTCATTCTGCTTCTCCAACTCTCTTTTTGAGTCTCTCACAGAAAGAGAGAGCTGGTGTGGGAGTGGGTACGGGCGAATGAATGAACACAATGAGCTGAATAGAGCAGCTCATTGCCATGCGGCAGTTTCTGGGTGTGAGATTAATTCTCCGTGGTTACCAGCCTCCGATGATGTAAAGAGTTGAGTAACAGTGAAATTATGGGATGTCTGATGTGGAGAGGACGATTGGGAGCAAACAGACACATAGAAAAGTGGCAGAGGACGGATAACTTTGGTAAGCGGCTGGCAAAGTTATGGCAAGTGGAAAAACGGAGTTTGAATCTGATCTGATGGGCATGGTCCCCTGGCTCTCATCCAGTCACGGTACGCAGAAACATCCACTGTGCTGCTATTTTTCTTTTTTCTCAAAGGAGTGCAGGGTTCTCCTTGTGTTTTCACAAAGACGAGTTTGAACCTGTGCTGACCCACAAGAGCCTCAGTAAAGCGCTCAAAACACTGTGTGTGGAGATCAGCCTCTGTGAGCTAGTCAGTCTGACCAGTGCAGTCACTGTTTGAGGGAGTGTAATCATGGAGTGGAAAATTTTGACAAGAGGGGGGGGGG